ATTATTATTATTATTATTATTATTATTATTATTATTATTATTATTATTATTATTATTATTATTATTATTATTATTATTATTATTATTATTATTATTATTATTATTATTATTATTATTATTATTATTATTGTTATTATTATTATTATTATTATTGTTATTATTATTATTATTATTGTTATCAAATGGTTATTAACAGTTGTTTCAAATAATTACGTTTCATTTTTTTTGTTTTCATAAACTACAAATAAATTAATTAATGTTTTTCAGCAATATTTTCTTTCTTATATTTTACAAAATTTTTTAGCATAAATTTTATATAGTTCAAAAAAAAAAAATCCCTTTATAATAACACATCCAAAATGTACAATCTCACGAGGAAAAAAGCCAATTAATATGCAATGATGATTTTGCCATAAAATATTAATTATTCGATGGATAAATATTCTAAATATTAGATGTTGCGAATAAAAGCTAATTAGTGTGTAGTAATGTTTGAATTTCAATTGAGATAATGCAATAATATTTTACTAATATATCAAATAATAAATTAATGTTTAATTTCAATTTAAAATTGATTTCGTCCTCTTTTAAAATATTAAATTCATTTATACTTGAATTAGTGTTTGCTGTTTATTTTGATTGCACAAATTAAAGAATTAACGGTTAATTTTCATTTCCGTTTTGTTTTTTTCTTTTTTTTTTCAAACTTGAACTATTTCCAGCTTTTTTCACTTTTCCTACCTTTTTTTTTTAAAAGATTTACAACTGATTGAAATGTTTTCCTTTCCTTTTCAATTCTTTTCCTCAGTTGAAAAAAGATTCGAAAATTCAAATGGCAATAAATTTATTGCGTAAATGAAATATAGTTTGAAAAAAAATTTTAGGAAATTAAATAGATAAAAATTGTCACGAATTTCAATCATATATTTGTTTACATTTATCAATTTCCATTTCTTTTTTTCCTCGTTTATTTTCATTCAACTAAAATTTTGTTTATTTTACATGCTTTTACAAACATTGTAATAAAAAAAAAAAGGAAAAAAAGTGGACAGGAAAAAGGAAAAGGAAAATTTTTCATTTCAAAAAAAATTTGCTTTAGCAATATTTATTAATATAATACATAATTGATCATGCATTACATTTTCATGACAAAATAAAACTTTAACATTTATGTTTCGCAAAACCTATTGATTAATTTCTTATTGCGCTAGTATTACTATTAGTAATATAATACTATTATTATTATTATTATTATTATTATTATTATTATTATTATTATTATTATTATTATTATTATCATTATTATTATTATTATTATTATTATTATTATTATTATTATTATTATTATTATTATTATTATTATTATTATTATTATTATTATTATTATTATTATTATCATCATCATCATCATTATTATTATTAATCATTATTATTAAATTATTGTTAGCATTACTATCATTAATATCATTATCAGTGACTATCCTTCAATGAAAAATGACAAGATTTTTGAAATGACCGAATCATCTTTCAATTTTTGCTTTTCCATTTTACGATGCTAATTTCATATTATTGGGAAAGTATTTCCTGGAATTATCATAATATTCAATAACGACAGGAAATAGAAATTTTTATTTTTTATTTTTTCTAATTGACACATTTACAAATGTCACATTGTAACCATTTGAATTTAATTCTTTCTTCACTTTGAGATTTATTTATGATTTCGGAATTTTATTTCTTTTTCCTTTTATTTAAAAATAATTTTGACTTATAATTAATGGATTAAAATTGAGCAAAATAAAATCAAACTTCTTTTTTTTTAAAGACACATTTTAAAGTGATAAATTGAAGAATATAACACATCCATTTATGTCTATTAATTAATCTCTTAATTTTTTTTATTTCTCTTCTTTAAACTGTAAAATTTCTAATTAATACCAAATCTTTCAACGAAATTTTTCAAAAATTTTTTGTCTAATTTATTTTAAATTTTTGAAATTGAAAAATTTTTTAAAAAAAAATCGAATTTATAAAAAAAAAGAACACTTCAGTTGCCATTTTCAAATTTTCCCATTCGCTTGCTTCTTCATCACAACTAAATTCATCCTTATGCTTTAGGCAGGTTTCGAAATTGCAAATTTAATTTACTGAAAGAGAGCAGTTCTTCCCCTCCCCCGTGGAATTGCCATTTCGATTTGCCTCTTTCATAGGTATTGATTTTTTTTTGTGGTAGCATTTTTGGTGCAAAACATTTCCCGGCGCTGTTGTAAATTCAATCTGTGACAGTGTCGGAAATGCTTTAAATTCATTGAAGTTCTTTTTTTTCCTTTCTCTCTCTCTCTTTGATAAACAAAATTGAATTATGTAAAATTCAACAATTTTTCCCATCTTATCCTCTAATTTTTATCATTTCTAATTTATTTTTATATATTTATTTTAAATTTTTATTCATTATTCTTTTAAATTATTATATCATTTTAGTTCTCGAAATTAATAAAATTTCAATTTGTAATAAATTAACTGAAAAAGGAAAAAAGAAAGTTCATTGCTTTATGACAATAACTTCTTGACATATCTGAAATTTGCTACATGTGAAATAATTATTTGATCATTATTGGATACAGAAAAGAAAAAAAAAAACCTTTGATGCTAATCTTTGAACTCATCATAATATTAAGCAAATTTTAACCTTATATGAGAAAGCCTTATTTAGCATAATTTTGCAAATATAAATTTTTCATAATATCGCAATATTTTCTAGGCTGTTGGACGATGCCAACACGTGATGCTTTGTGTCGCGAAAGTTTGGAGGAACAAATCCGAAAACATACCGCTGCAATGTCCTCTACAACGGCCTTGTTAAATATTGAAGGTTGTGAAAATTTGAGCAACAGTGATGATGATAATAATAATAATGATGATGGTGATGATGATGATAATGATAATGATGATGATGATGATGATGATGGTATAGAAGCGGAAAGGATAAAGAAATCTAGCAGTACGTATGCCGAAAATCCGGGACCATCAGAAATAGTTTCTGCTATCGTTGAACGAGGAAATTCATGTGAACAACAGGATCCTACAATAGAATCAACAAATAGTATATATGGTGATGAAATTCAACCAAGTGATAGTGGTATGAATAAAAATTTGCAACCAAATATTTTCATATTATGACTTGATAAGTTACTCTCTTAATCTGAAGTTTAAGTTATAAGTAAGTTATAGCCTTAAAATCAATATTATATTGTCTAAACATTTAGCATTTATATAAAAATTCACTTTTATTCATAAACCAATTCGGTAATTCATATAATCATTAATATTATTTGCAATAAAAGGACCAATTGCGCCAATGAAGTTAGGTGTTTTCAAAAAATAATTTGTACCATTCATTGATTTGGTTTTAATGAAGTTTTTCTTATTTAATTAATTCATGAGATTCGCTCAATTGTTGTATAATTTCGATAATTAGTAATTTGCAAATTCTGTCCCATTTCATTTTCAAAAATTTTCAATTTATTTAATATAATGCAAAAATTATTCCCAATTTTTGTTCTAATTTAGTTTAATTTTTTCTTCAATTTATTCAAATTATAATTTTTTTTTATGTTCGAATAATCTTCCATTTGCTAGACAAATTTATATAAAAGAAAGGAATTGATCAATTTATATGATTTCATCGCTCTATTAAAATTTTAAAATTTCGAAATAAATTCCGGATTATTCTATTACCGTAATATTTTGATTGATCATTAGATCTGAGAAATACAATTCATTCCTTATCTTTTATCATTTATTGCTATTATCAAAGATATTCTTATTTTTAAACTTTTAAATTGTTGATAACATTTCTGACGATTATGTTTAAATGTTTAGAAGGAAATGAATCGATTTCAAAAGTGCCTTCAAGGATGCATACTTCATTAAAAAAAAATAATGAATCGTCAAAAACAAGCAGTATTCGATCACTTCGACAACTTCAAGAAATGGTTTATAATTTTTAATACTTTAAAATATAAAATAGTTTGAAATTTTTTAGAATATTTCCTTCTTATTTTGCAATATTTCTTTTTTTCCTTTTTCAAACGCTAAATAAAATTGATATTGGAATAATATTTTGATTACAAATTGAACAAATTATTATTATTATTATTATTATTATTATTATTATTATTATTATTATTATTATTATTATTATTATTATTATTATTATTATTATTATTATTATTATTATTATTATTATTATTATTATTCTATTATTATTA